ACAACAGCCCTAGAAAAGAAACGACAAACGAAAAAAAAAATCCTCAGTTATTATCCTGCCATCTTTTGGGCGGGGTTGAGAATGTTAGCTGCAAATCACACCCTTCGGAAAATTGGATCCTGCGTACCTATGCCCACATTTTGGGCAACGATAGAAGATAGTGCTTCCTTCATCCGCGCTTCGCAACTGCATCTCACTCCAAGTAACCTCCTTTGAATCGCATTTCTGGCAATCCACTTGAATTCGGCTTTTCGATTCGCGGTCTTTGACCGCTAATTCACGCGTATGAGATCTCAGCTTGGTACGAAGTTTTGACGGGAAATTGTTTGATGTAGATGTTATCGGAAGGTCCATTAACTTGTCTTGGGTTGTGGGCGTCCTCATTAGCTGCTGGCTCTCGCAGTTCAGTAAGAGAAATGCTCACTGGGATTTGTTTTTCCACACACATCGCATGAAATGCTTGGTGCGGCAGATATGTCTAAGATAGAGCCGCAGTCATGGCAGAACTGGGGAGCCATAGATGGGAGTCGGGCCGGATAAAGCGCCTTACAGGGTTGAGAGATGTTAACTTGAATTTGTGGGAGGAAGTTTTGTGTATCGTGATATTTCGGACCATCTATTATTCCGGTATGTGAAGGTTATTTCAGCATCGAATTGAAGCGCGAAGCCAGCCTGCGATCTTGGCTCTTGTGAGATTTGGGCAACCGGGTTGGATTTATCTCAGCAAGCTCAGCCGCTTCGCAGGATAATTGCTGTTTTTGTGGGATGGTTGATGGTTGGTGGTTAGACTGATGGGAGATGTGGGATGGTTGATCTTTCATTGTGCGATCGCTAGCTAACTATATATAGAGGTAATCACGTGCGGTGGAGGGCCGCCTGGGCAACTAGTGCCCAACACCCCCCCACGCGCCAACGTGGTGATGTGTTCCTACGAATCTTCCATGCTAGCTATCTCAACTTGGATCATCCCAAAATCATGCTACATACAGAAATTTAATCATTCTCACTGTTATCAGTGAAAAGTCTTAGTAAATCAATGAAATGTTTAAATGCCACTGTGTTCAGAGGTTTGGTGTAATGCACTCGTTTATTATTTCCCTTATTATTATATTATCTTTGTTTATATCTTCGTCTATTCTTACCTCTTTCCATTATACTCTCGCTACCACTATTTCTGTATGTATATATATATGGATGCATGTATTTCGCACATCTTCTTTCTCTTTCTTTTTCCTCTTCAGCGATTAGCTACAACTACAACTACAACTTCAACTTCAACTATACTACTACTATAATTATTATTATCTTCCACTACACTATATACTATCTTCTACTATTCACTCTTCACACTGTCATCACCCCTCACATTTGGTTAATTCATCTGCTATCATATCCTCAGTGAAAATGTGTTTAATAGAAATAACACCTTCATTCAATTGTGTGTGAGAATAGTGAAAGTGAGTGTCAATATGCTTGCTGCATGCTGTGATTGTGATAACAATAATTAAATTGATTGAATCTTTGTTATCTGCTTTGATAAACAAAAGATTCTTTACTGTAATAAATTTTAGTTTCATCATCATATTATACAATTATATTATTTTATATATTACTTCATTAAATACCACATATTCTGCCTCATTTGAACTTAAAAAAATATAAAATTGTTTGAATGAATATTATGAAATTGATGCATCTGTTAATTTAAATACGAAATTTGAAATAAATTTATATTTATTATTCAACAATTTTGCTCAATCTGAATCTGTATAATCTATCAGCAAATATGATGCATTGAGGAATTCATCAATTTCATTTTTAAAATTTTTATATAAAATATCAAGATCACTCATTTTTTTTAAATATTGTATGATATAAAAAAAAGTTTTTTCTATTTTAAATATAAATATAATATTCTTCTGCATTAATAAAAATACTGCTCATATAATATCTGAATGTAATTTAACTGTCAGATATTGCAAATATTTTATTTTATATTAATATTATTTTTTAATGAACTTTTCTTTTCATTCTGATACAGAGGTATTGTTTATCTTCAAATTTTTAAATATTGATGTAAAATCAAAAATGACATCATCTAGATGAAAATCTTGCATTAAATGATTAATATAACATCTCAATATTAATTTTATAACATCATTAAAATGATGTTCAATCTTCATATCCAAATATTTCAAAAATTCTTTTAAATTTTTTATTTTTAATTTATTGATAATAATGTCAATTAATCAATCAACATTTACTGAATCCTCTGTTATAATATAAAGATCATTCATATAGATTGTCATATAAAGATGCTTGTGAGATATATGATGCTATAAAATAAAGTTGTAAAAATTAGATTTGAAGTTATTTTGACAGAGTAATGCTGTAAAAAAATCATATCAAATCTTAACAACAGAATATAATTTATATAGAGAGTCTTTAATAATATAAATCATTGTATGTGAAATTCTCATTTCAAATTCAGTAGATTGCTGTATATAAATCATTTTATCAAATCAGTTATATAAATAGATTATCATTATATCAATCTGATATAAAATTCAATTTCATTTCACTGTTATTACAAACATTATATGATTAATAGCATCATTAATAGTAAATGTATATATTTCTTCATATACATTTTTCTTTAATCAATTACTGCATATTACTCATTAAAATTTTCATAATATATCATCAAAATTCACATTGAGATTCTGAGAGTGATTTTTTTCAATATCAATTCAACAATTGAGAGCCACTGATTCATCAGAAAAGATATCAGAATATAAAATTATTATTTAAATCTTTTTTTGTTTCAAATCTGCAATTTCACATTTCATTAATTTTTGTTAATATTCATCAACCTCTTCAGATCTACTAACAGCATTGTTATATTTTTTCAAAACAGAATCAGTGAAAAAAGAAGAAATGTAGATGATAAATACTTTTATTGATTTTATTCATTCAATATTAATTAATTCAAAAACAATAACATCATCAACAAAATAAATTGCTGAATTTATAGATTCAAATATTATATGATTAATATCATTTTGTAAAATTATAGATTTCTTTACAGAGAAAATGATATCACTGATCACAATTATTTTATCAATTGTAAAACTTCAGAGGTGGTAGATTGAGTTATTATAAAATTTTATAAATTTAAAAATTTCTGCTCAAGCAGACAGCTTGTCAATAGAATTTTGAAATTTATGAAAATGTGTATAAATATCAACATTTAACTCTCTAAAATGCCAAAGTTAAAATGAGATATTGATTAGTGCTAAGAATAAAATTGTATAGAGGTATCACACAGATGCTTCATCAATGTTATTGATAAATCAATATTTCTCATTATACAGAGTAGTAAATATTGATGTATTGTTGATAATTGCAATCATTATTTCAAGACCATCTGCTCAGAACTTCTTCAGTATATTCATGCTTAAAAACACTACTTTTACATATAATACTATCATACAAATTCCTCTCTCAGAAACATCATTTTGATAAAAAGATTGAAATATAATAGATTCTTAAATAGTGTCATCTTTGATCATCATTGTTGTCATTTTGTTAAATTGAAAGACATCATTGATATCAGTTCTAACTAGCACTGATAATGTGAAACTGAGATTTTTTATGAATTGAACTCAGTAAGTATAAATTTCAACAGCTTGATTCTTGATATGTAAAAAATAGATTCATTTGTAACAGATGATGTTTTCAATGATGAGTATATAATATTTGATCTCTTGATAAGATTTAATAGAGTAATCAGATATGTCATTCAGTGTATAATCATCATCAACAAAATTGATATAAACATATTACATTGCTCACAACACTTATAGTATGAGAGTTTGTGAGAATTTGTATATCATGTCTACTTTGACATAGCTATCACAGAAAAAATTTGTTTTAGATTTTTTAATATAAATGTTGAATGACAGATTTTTCATTAGTGCAATGATCATGTCAATGTGAATATATTTTAATATAATATATCATTTTATGAGTGTTCTTATCAGAGGGTTGTGATCACTAGATTGATCATTAAATTTCTTTATAATTGTCAATATTGCATCTCTGTAATTGTAAGATTTGACTATAAAATAAACAGTCTGAAATGAATGATGAACATATATTTGAGATTCTTATTCTATTATTTTATAGACTAATTCTTTAAATATGTGAATAGCAATGAAGTTGATATTATTCAGAGCTTTTATTATAAAATAAAAAAAAGTGATATTTGATAATTGATATCTGAAACCTTGATCTTCTAACTTAATGAAAAATAGAAGATTGACAATTAGATTGAGAATTTAATAAATATAATTCATTAAAATATTCTTTTTTTTGATTTTAAAAGAATATCATCTATCTTATCAACTTATTCTACATCATCATCTGCAGTAGTAATTTATAAATCATTTTTGAACAATTTTGTACACATCAATGAATGCCTTGCATTTGTCATATTAAAGCTTGTGCAGATGTTGAAATATCAAGGTTTGAATGTTGTAATAAATGATGTAGATAAAGCAATTACTGCATTGATATTAAATTATGATGCAAGAAAATCTGATGCTCTGATATCAATAAATTTATCATTTTTTTTTTTTATTTTTTTCCTTTTTTTTAATATTTTCAATGTTGTCAGTGCTCTTATTATTCTTATTCTCTTTCCTTCATCATTCAGATATTTTATCAAAGTTCAAATGATAGCAATTAATTTTTATATATTTTAAAATCTTGCAGTATTCACATCGTGAGATTGTGATGATGATTGTATTATTATAATTGTTATCATTAATGACTGCGTTGATCTTTAAAACTTCAAAGTGTTTAGTACTTTTTGATTTATTCATTTAATAAGTAATTTATTTTGTAAAATTGTTGATATTTAAATTGACAATCAGATTCTGACTCATTCTGTAGAATGTATTAAAATGTGATTTAATATAGATTTTTAATAATCTCAGAAACTGATAATAAGGAAATTATAAAGATAATTCTCATCACAATTCTCTGTTAATTGTTGTATATGAGTAGACAGATGTTAATATCGGTGTATATATATTAGATAATCATTATTTTTGACATGCAAGTGGGTAAATTTTTTAAAAATGTTAATTCTTTCTTTTTTTTAAAGATATTGTATATACTGCACTTACCTTGTGTTATAGAGCTGTTGTGTTATCAGATTAAATGGATTTCATAATTAAATAGACAAAATCTATCAGAGATTGCAATATATAATGAAAGAGAAGTTTTGAACATATCATTCAATATCATTGATTAAATGATGATAGATTTTCAAATGATTTTTATTTATTTTTATTAAAAATATCTGCATCATCAATCACTTCTGCATTCAACAAAAACATCATCTTTCACATTTGATAATTGGTGTCATTAAATGTGATGACAGACTTTATATTCAATAAAATCTGTGTTTTTTTTTTAATATTTACAAATCAGCATATTCAGATCTTCTTCTGATATAAAGTTTGAAAAAATGAAGATGATGAAGAAAATGAAGAAGATGGCAATGTGTGTGTTGATATCAATCATTTATAAAATACAATGAAATCTGCTGCTGCCATGATCATCATGTTGTTAGAATTCAATATAGATATCAGTATAGAATTGAATGTATCATTCTCAAATTTCTCATATTCTAACATCTTATTAATATTGCATGCTGAGTCAGACATTGTCATATCTTTCTTTATCATTATATATTCAATTTAATCACCCTTCACTTCTGAATCAGATTCTTACTCAGTAATACAGAAGAAGAATTGAAAGATTTTTGATTGTAAATATAATGTCTTATTATATTCTGATATTGAAATTGTAGATAATTAAAAATCATGCATAATCAATCTGATTTAAAAACGTTTTGAATGAAAATAAATAAATAAATTTTTAATTTTTTTAAAATAGTAATGAAATCTTTGCAGCAATCTCAATAGCAATTCTGTCAATTACACCACTTTTATAAACAAAGAGCTTATTTTTCAGAGGAATAATGTTTAATTCATTCAATATGATATCAGTTGCAGTGTATTCTAATCACAACATTTATTTTCTTAAAATATCTGCAATCCGGGTTATAATCTATGGGATGGTTGATAGTTGGTGGTTAGTCTGATAGAAGATGTGAGATGGTTGATCTTTTCATTATGTGATCATTAACTAATTATATATAGAGGTAATCACGTGCGGTGGAGGGCCGTCTGAGCAACTAATGCTCAACAGTTTTACCATTGATTTAATGATTAGTCACTTTTTTAAACAAGTTAATTTTAAATTGATAATGAGCTAACTTAAATAATTCTTTGATTCTGTGATATGTAAGAGAAAAAATAGTTTCAGTTTGTTGGCAACATGGGAACAATTTGCTCTATATCTTAGATATGAGTGAGAATATTAAATCAACTTCATCTATTCAGCATCTTTGTATCATTTTAAGATATAGAAAAATCAATGTTCCTACAATGATATCAATTTTTACTTTCATATTCCCATTTTTTAGATATGAAGTACCATCTCAAAGTCAACTTCATTTTTTTTTTTTAAACATGGGGAGCCATTTGGCAATTAACTAGAATTCAATCAGGAAAAAAAGTGGTCCATTTCAATAAGATACATCTATATTAAATATTGATTTTTTTAAATATAAAAAGTATATAGTTATTGTTCTTCATCTCTTTAGCTACAAGCTAAGGTGGTTCCCAAATATCAAATATGTATGATGATTGTGTAATTGAAAGTCAAAGTTGAACAATTTGAAGAATCTATGAAAAATCTCAACAATCTCCACAGAAGGATGAACCGTTTCTTCCCAGACCCCTCTGGCGAGGATTGCTCTGAGCACATGACTTGTAACTAAAGTAGTTTAGTGTCATGCTGCTGCAACCGGAGCCAATAGAGGGTTTGAGCTCGCTGAGATAAAGGTTGGATGAGTAACCTGTGTAGATGGATGTATGTAGCACGTATGTCTTCAATGAAGAGGTTTAATGCAATATATGGCTATTTGCATTGTAAAAGTATAGATGTATATATGTGTGTGAATGAAGCTAAAACTTTTCGCTCATTCCTATAAGGAACTGAGGAAGGATACAACCTATTTATAAACAGCATAAAAAAAGGGGGAAATAAAAGACCGCATGCAATCAACTATTGTCCCAATCACCTAATCTCTATCTACCCAAGCAGATTAAATAAATATTGCTCAGAGTTGTGTTAGCCAACTTCGGAAACCAAATTACCAAGACCAATTCTTCTCCGATGATGTCATAGCAAAACTACGGGGGAGGAATTGGGGCCGAGGTGAATGAGCTGGATGCTGATGGTAAACCTGTGTATATGTAACAGTTTGGTGTTTTAACGAAAGGGCGAGAATAACTTTTAATAGAATTTAGGAGAAAGATAGAAACTAAAACCAATATTAAACGGTAACATTAGAAGAAAATTGGCGAGAAAAGTAATAGAAGGGAGAAAATACAAATATCGCCCGGAGAACGCACATCCATTATTAATAATCCTCCTTCTATCGTGTCAAATAATTTACTCTAGTCCCTCTTACATCAACATGCCCTTTGCCACCTTTCGCAACAGAATCTGGCTCATCATACGCAGCCGACGATGGTGTTCTTGACTGCGACTCCTCATCAATATTACTGGCAGGGATGCTTTCGTAGCTTCCTTGGTTATACGCCACAGATAGATTAGTGACATCGGCATCAATCTCATTCCACGTCTTGCTCGTCGCTGGGATGGCCAAACCCTAGTGAGGGTATAATACACCGTGAAGGAAACGACAAAACCACAGAAAAAATTCAAATTATAGAGATAGGTGGCTCCAACGGGTACCGCGACATCAATAGCGCCGATGAAACCGACAATGTTGATGAGAATCCCTGAGACGTAGGACGCGTAGGCGTGCCAGGAGAAGCCGAAGGTATAGTAATAAGGGCTGTGCTTTCGGGAGCTGTAGAGCTCGTTGACTTTGATGTAGCCCTTGCGAACAAGGTAGTAGTCGCAGATCATGGGGCCTGCAATGGAGGAAAGGAAGACAGAGTACGCAGAGAGGTAAGTGGTGAAGTTGTTTGAGGTGGAAAGTAGGTGCCACTATGGGAGAGAGGTATAAGTGTTAGCAAAGAGTAACGGTAATGGGCGTGAAGGGACTGGCGGGGAGACGTACGGGGCACATAGCGAAGCCAACAGCTGCACATATATACCCGCCCCGACGGATGCTGAGAAATCGGGGAAAGAGGGCGGCCATGTCGGTTCCGGCCGATATCGAGTTGGCTGAAATATTTGTCCCCAGTTGTGCCAGGGCAAAGGCAGTGGAGATGATAAAGACACCAAATCTTTCTCCTTTGCTCGCACCATCGAGAAATCTGCCCAAAAGTTCAAGTGGGTTCCAGACAGGTTTTTCGTAAAGAACTCCAGAAGAGGAGGAAACGATGATCCCGATGAATGAAGTGATGGCAAAGCTGATTGGTATGGTGAAAAGCTGTGAATACAAGGCGTCCTTCGGCTTTCTGGCAACCCTCGAAAAGTCGAGCGAGTTGACGATAAGCGTAGCAAAATTGGCGATTGAGGACATGACTCCCCTTATCACCGCCCATGCCAATTTGCTACCCTGTAGGGTGTGTCGTTGGTCAACAACGGGTCCGAGTCCGCCTGCACGGTGAACGGACCAAGCAAGGAAAACGATACCAGCTGTTGGCGCGTAATAGGATTTGACGGTGAAAAGATGGCGGATTTTATGCACAGGGAACCAGATGGCGGGAAGACTGCAGAGTGAAAAGAGAAAGAAGCTTAAAAAATCTCTTGTCGTTGTCCCTGAGCTTTTTGGCATGCTATTTGGCAAGTCGTTATAGCTAGACCATATAGATCTAATCATCAACGTAACACATTGGCCTTAATCGAAGAACATAACAGGAGTTGAATATCAGTCTCGCATAAGATCGGGAGTGTCAGGACCTGCTGCATATTAAGCTGGGAGTAGCATACCTCCAATCCACGACTGCACGCCATACCATATACAAGCCATGGCTACTCGGTTAAAGACCGGCCACATGGAACCCCATACCCCAAACGACGCTCTTATACCCACTGGGAAGGATATATGGTACACTGCACCGATTCGCGCGCTCAGGCATAGAAAAACCGCAGCAATGAAGTATCCAAACCACACGCAAATCCAGGATTGCCACCACGACAAACCTTCGACGACCATCGCGGAGGAGATCATCCATGTGTTCTGGAATTAGAAACGAGTTCAGCACCTCCGCGAGTTTTTACAATAAATTTTCGTGCTGCTTTGACCCACGATATTAAAGGAGTCCGCGATCCAGAAGCTAACATAGTTCCAAGGACCCCATCGTCGATGCTCCGGTTTAACTATTCATCGGAGCATCAGTAAGGATAGGCATTAGCAAGAACAGTAACGGCATTCGGTCGAGTATCTAAGCTCACTTGCCTGGTTTCAAATCATCGTTAACCAGCATGCGCTGCCCACTAGACAAGCCAACCTCATTTCTCACCTCCAGTTTGGAGACATAGTGCACAATTTTTGAAGCTGATAGGACATTCATATTGAAAGGATACCAAGGTTGATGAAGCAAAAATCAAACGGGTAACTACCAGAATGGATAAGTTCTCATGCTTGTCCGAAGTGCCAGAGCAACCACAACAATACACTTCAGATCGATGGAACGAGAAGGAGGCTGCTGATCTGGATTACGCCGTTTACGTTGGTTGTAATCCCTCCAGGCTCGCACTGATAGAACAGAGAAGAAAATGAGAGGAGACAAGTGATATCATCGATCGCCATAGACGCAAGGAAGAGCGACGGCGGTGAATATATCTAGTATGTTATTTACGCTGCACAGTCTCCCCAAACATGACAGGCCAGTATGATATCTGCACCTATCATGCTATGCTTGCTCAGTTTTCTCCGCAGCAGCTGGGTTCCACTAGAAGTCAAGGAGAGACATACACATGTCCGACGATCGACACATATTGTTGCTGTGTAAATGCTCCCCGGTTATGACGAAGAAAAACACCAGGCATTTGGTCACTCGGTTGCGGTGGATATGCGACGTGCGGAATGGATGGACCCGCTGTCCAAGTTTTCCAACTCTGATCCGTGGGATAAGCTCCCGTCTCTTTACTGGGTGTTATTGTGGTGCACTGGTCGCATGTCTCACCCATTGACAAACTATCCACGGAGCACACGGAGCACACGGAGCAAATCACAAGGGAAAGTTAGGATGGAGGAGGGTGAGTCCTGGCGACATCCCGGTAATGTCTCTTCCTATCAAAAACTGCGGTATCTGATAAATATGGAGCAACTCAGGTTCATTTGTCTTGGCTGGCTCCTTAGCCATGCCACGGGCAAAAATGCTGAGAGCTTTGGGCCATAGCGCTTGAGACAAAAAGTCAGACTCAAGGCTGCGTTTCCGTGCTATGGGCTAAGCTTAGTCTTAATAGTGCGGTCTCTGTTTGGCAGCAAACTATGCAGCTTTTGCACCCAGATAGCATTGCTCCCTTCTCGAGACAGGCGATTCAAAAAACATCCTTGAGCTCCAATTTTACATGAAGAATTGAAAGTCATTCCTGTCAATTAAATATTGGGCATAGTACACACCCACTCCAACATTCTATTTTACACAGGTATTAAGTTCTCTTTCATAAAATCACGACGCTATCATCCACTCAAATCATGCATTATTCCACTTTCCAAACCGCACATAATCGTCGTATAGGGACTTAAAGACCGCTCGACTCGACGAATCCATCGCCGCATTCAAACCTCTCATTGTCTCCTTCGACATCACATCCAAAATCGAGTAAAAGCCTGGCATCAACGCAGCCTTCAGCTCCGGCGCAAGTTGAGCTCGCAGCTGGCAGCCGGTATATTCGATAACAAGATATTGTAAATGCTGGCCGGCTATACTCTTCAATTTTTTCGTATTGTCAGTTAGGCCGCTGTCGGATCGCTCAACGCGTTGTACAGCGGAGACAGTTGGGTCGCAAAGGGCAGTTAGGAGGCGGGTATATTGGGTTGCGTGGGAACGCTTATGGAGAAAGGAGCTGGCAGTCTGGTTGTCTACCCATGGTGGAGGGGCGAATTGGGAACGAGACGGCTTCTGCGGCCTCGGGCCAGGTGTGAAGAGGAGGCGAAGGAGGCGTTGCATGAGTGGTAGAATCAAGTGAAATCTTCCACTGAGCTTTTTCCGGTATTGGCCAAAAACGAGGCTTAGGATATGACATATGCGGCTGTAGACAACTCCCGCGTATTCCCCTGCGATTTTGGGACCCTGGGCAGATATCACGACGGAAAGCGTGCCTAGGATGTTGTCGATG